TGAGATAGTTTTTTATGAGTAAAAATGGATTTAAAATTGATTTAAAAGATGTTATTTGGTTTGAAACATGTCTCTAAAGTCATAAACTTAGATACAAAAGTTTTACACACTTGTACCTATAAATCATAATTAGTTCATGTTTTCTAAGAGGGAAAGTAAAACACAAGGTGTTTGACTAGTATAAAGATAAAATGGAACCAATTACCTAATACTAGTGGAATTTCCATCAAACAAACATGATTGAGAGGCAAAATATTAAAAAAAACTGATATAAATATCAAAGAATACTTGTTATCTAAGAATTTTGAAAATTTAAAATTTTAGAACTACTGTGGCAGAAAAACACAACTGTCAGGAAGCAGGAGAAATGACTTACACATAGAACTTTTCCCTAGAAAAGTTTCAATACTCTCTTGAACTCTCTTTTGTTGACCAATTGCTGGTCATATATTCCCTAGTTCCTCCACATCCCAAGGGCCCCTTTTAGAGATGTGTGCCCAAGTGAAAGAGTATAGGGCTTTGCTTGTATGGGGGCTCAGACTTTGGAATTACTCCTCTAAGTTTGCTAGCATGAAATAAATCTCTTGCTTTCCAAAGCCTCTGTGTGCTACTTGGTTCTTCCCTGTCTCATCAGGCCAAATTCTGAATTCTTTAATATTACTGAATGAGAATAAATAATGGATTGTTTCAGGCAAGAGTGTGACTGCTGAATTAGGACTCCACCTGGGATAAACTTATACCATAACACTGAGTCATAGTGAAAATTTAAAGAACTTTTTTAATGTTTCATCTTAAATTGTTTTTCAAATACCTTGGAGGAAATAAATTCTATTAGATTTAGTGTAAATAGTGTAGATGTATGGGTCAGAGGGATAATATGGCGAAGGTACTCACCTTGCATATAGGCAACCCTAGTTTGATCCTCAGCACCACATATAGCACCTGAGAAATGACAGGAGAGATTCCTAAGTACATTTAGGTGTAAGCCAAATCTCTTCAACACCACTCTCATATCCCTATATCCCCTAAAATGAGTATAGATGTGTGTTTTAAGCAAGAAAACTTATGCATAGTGCATGGAAAGATCATATTAAAGAAAAGGGGGAATTCAATCTTAAGGTGAAACTGGTTAAATTGAATGAAGAAACGTTAATGAGCTGAATATGATGTAAAAGGAATCTGCATAGGCTTGAGGATTGTGTTTTAAACACTGCTGACAGTGGGATGCTCAAACCAAGGAGGAGAGAGGTGGAAGCTTCTAGAAGGGAATGAATGGCTTCTCTCTCTCTTCTCAACTTGTTTGGCCAGAGAAATGCCTGGAACATTAATACCTGATGAAAGTCTGTGTTGAAGCCCTGAATGGCACAGATGCTCCCATCCTGCCAGCCCCATGAGGCAGCTGTCAGGCTGTGATCAAGTCAACTTGTGCACAATGTGGGAGACAATTCCTGCCACTCAGTTTCCTGGAAAGTTATGGACTCAAACTGGAACAGGAAAAATCAATCCTAGCACAGCGGGTAGGGCATTTGCCTTGCACACAGCCAACATGGCCAACCCGAGTTCGATTCTTCCACCCCTCTCGGAGAGCCCGGCAATCTACCGAGAGTATCTCGCCCGCATGGCAGAGCCTGGCAAGCTACCCGTGATGTATTCGATATGCCAAACACAGTAACAACAAAATCTCCAGTGGAGACATTACTGGGCCCACTCGAGCAAATCGATGAACAACGGGAGGACAGTGACAGCGAAGGTGACAAATCTTACAGAAGCTCTTCTGATGTGTCACATTTCCCTCACAAATAAGAATTTCAAGAAGAGGAAAACAATGAAGTATAACAAGTTTATTGGGGGAAATAAATAAATAAAGAGAGAGAGAACACTAGGGCCTCTCCGGACTGGAAAAAACCCAAAGTAGTGTTGAGGGCAAAGTTAAATATGGATATTTTTCCACAACAACCTTTGTGCCAAATTCTTTAAACAAGTAAGAATTAATGGGGCTTTCCTGGGGAAAAAAATTGAAATTCTGGTGGCACACACTTGACTTCCTATTGTCCCCTTTGCCTTTTTTATTCCCCTCATCCCTGTGCCTCTCTCGGCAGGGATCAACTGTAGCACTGTAGCACTGTCTTCCTTTTGTCCATCGATTTGCTCGAGCGGGCCCAGTAACGTCTCCATTATGAAACTTGTTGTTACTGTGTTTGGCATATCGAATACGTCATAGTAGCTTGCCAGGCTCTGACGTGTGGGCGAGATACTCTCAGTAGCTTACCGGGCTCTCTGAGAAGGGTGGAGGAATTGAACCCTGCTCAGCTGGCTAGCCAGGTGGAATTCTCTATCTCTCAATGGTTTCCTTGGCTCCTGAGGTGGGTCTTTTGTGTGAAAAGCCCCCATGCCTCTGGCAGGTTTTGGTTTCAGATGCTGTTTTATATTATGTCCCCCTCTCTGACAAAACATTGGAGGAAATCAAAGAAAGGTCAAAAATCAAAGTGACAGATGTGGGGACCCTGTCCTATACAGACAGAGATCAAAGACAAATAAAGTGGAGGAAATAGGAGAAGTTTACTGGGGGGGGGGGTGCTCCCAGGCAGAACTCCATGAAACTCTGGTGAGGCTGGGGTAGAGCTGCACCCTGGGAGAGACTAAGGGGGCTTGTAAGCTGTCTTGGGAGGGAAAAGAGAGACAAGAACATAGACCAGTGTAACCTGTGTGCTTGGTCTGGCCTGTTATCTTGGGGATGGGTGTGAGGAAGCATGGAATGCAGCCTGGTGGCTTTCTGTCCAGGTGGCCATGAGTCCTGTCTTCCACACTAGGGACAGGGTGACCCCTGATTCTAGGAATGCAGCTGTTTCATCAGTCAGTCACCATTTGATCCTGGTCACCATTTTGTCAGAGCAAATCTCACACAAAGAAAAGAAAAACCTGCCCACCACAAAACTTCCATAGTACAATTAAGTTTTATTTTCAGTTGCAAAATCTTTGATACTTTAAATGGTAGTTTATTGCTTTTATGATTACCTGAAAAGAGGTTACTTTTTAATACCACTGAGACAAAACTCTCAGAATTAAAATATTCTAAGAAAAGAACTTGGCTGGTTAAAGTAAAAGTAAATATGGAAGCTCTTAGAAGAGCTAAGGGATCCCATAATAATTACCTTCTTCCTCTTCCTCCCCCAGATCCCCAACTTTCCAGTAGCTTGGCAGTCATACCCAGAAACTGCCGCCGGTGCCATGTAATCCCATCAATGACCAAGATCCAGAGACTATAAAACAAAGCAACACAGTATTTCCTGGAACATGGCTGTGTGACATCTTATACTCTAGCCCACTGATGTATCTAAAGTAGCACACATGTGTTTCGTCTAACATACTTGTTTGTATTCTCTTAGAGGGGCTTAAAATGGCCCCAGAATGAAATCAACAACCTTCACACACTTCCCTCTTATTGTGGTGGGAAGATGCTCATTGGTTGGGTGGGTGTTTAAATACTATCTGTAATAAACTATTGTGAACTACTTTATGAAAATTAAGTATATAAAATTGTAAAAAATATAATTACCTTCTTCCTTTATGTAAAGATAAATGAATATGAATCTAGACTATTTGTTAAGATTTTGATGCTTGTGGACCCCCAGGTGACTTTTGTGAAGTGGAGGGGAGAGAGATAGCCACTCATCTCCAATCTATCTCTGCCACCCAGGGTCTGGCTGGGAAGGCTAGGACTGATAAAGTCTGTGATGAGCCCCTGCAAGGCTGGAATTTGAGCCCATGCCTGATGCCCACTTATTCTGCTGGGCACAGGAGTTAATCCTCACCACCTGAATTCTCAGGGAGCCAAGGACAGACTGGTGTGAGGAATTGCTCTTTGCAGTAAAGGAAAAACTAGCCCTAGGCTTTAACCATACCTTTAGTCCTTGTCTATTCTCTTAGAAAATAATTTCAGGAGAAGGTAAGTAGTGAAATAAAAACAGATTTTATTTGGAGGTTTTGAAAAAGGAGCAAGAGAGAGAGAGAGAGAGAGAGAGAGAGAGAGAAAGAAACACTAAGAGAGACAATGAAGGCTTCTTCAAAGACTGAGAGGACCAGTACACATTTCACGAAAGGGAGATGTGGGGACACATGTTCTCAGGCACCGTATGTGGAAACAAGCAGCATGTGGAGACAAGCAGCATGTGGAGACAAGCAGCATCTTGCCATGTGGAGACAAGCAGCAAATAGGCTTGGTCAGCATATGTGCACCTTCATACGTACATCCTGGCATTAGATATGAAAGTATAAAAATACATACCCCAAAAAGGGAATGCGGGTGACAGATGTGCTCAGACACCCCATGGAGTCAGCCAGAACAGGTGAACATAAACAGCACATGGGCTCAGACTGTGTGTGCACATGCTTCCTTTGTTCAAGTTGTGTTGTTGTTGTTATTGTTGTTGTTGTTTAAGATTGAGCAACCCCTTACTTTTATTTTTATTTTTTGGTTTTCTGGGAAAGCACCTGGTGGTGCTCAGGGGAACAAATAAACAAACAATGCTGGCGTTTAATCGTGGGGCTCCTGCACACAAAGCAAGTGGTCCAGCCCTCTGCATCAGCTTCCTAACAGCTCAGTAGACTTGTTGTTGTCTTTCGGTTAAATAGGAGGGAGTTTCTGATCTGGCTTCCTACAGTGAATGGAGACTCCTACATTCACAGAACTGACTTGCTAAAAAGAGCAACTTTGGTCCTCACCCCATCCCTCCAAAGCAGAACAAGATGAATGACAAGAACGTTCATGAATTGGCTCCTACATCAGGTTCTGGCCGTGGAAAGCCACAGACAGACTTCGGGCCATTCACTGGCCTCAAGATCGTGTTCGTGGCCCCTTTCTGTACCACCACACTTTAAGACAAGCACAGAGGAGAACAGAAGGCCATGGTGACACAGAGGACAGACAGATGGCTGAATGCCTGTTCCTGAGTGTCACACGCCTGTGGCCAGCCAGGCACTCATGGTCTTCTCTCTCTCACTCAACCCTGTTCCATCTGCTGTGCCCATCGCCACGCCTCACCCGGCTGCAGAACTGAGGACAGGCCTTCACGCCCTTTTCTCAAAGGGAAATGTCACTGGTCCTTGACTGCATTCTGCCGCCTCTTTCGACTCCAGAAACTCTTGAGTTTATTGCTGTGTTTCAGCTCCTTGAACTTCTCAGCGAGAACCAACTGGCACTGCTCAGATTTCTTCAAGAAATATGGCTGATCATGGGATGGGGGGTGGGGGGTGGAGCAGTACCTGCTTGTCTTCATGACCTACCAAAGTCACGAGTTGCCCCCCTTGAGCGGCTCTCTTGCACGGCCATAGCACCAGACGCACAAAAAACAAATCTCATAATTATCTGGCTCTTGGCAGAAATTCCTCCAGACTTAATTAGTAAATTATCAGAAGTCCAAAATCATATGCTTCTCATAACCAGCTATAGAAAGCAAATTATTTCACAATGGCTTTTCAGCAATTCTGATTATTGGGGGGAGGGGGAGGAATTCTGAACAATAATGGTGCATCTTTTGTTGAAATAATGAAATTAATCAAAGTAAAAAAAAAATATGGCTGATGGCCCTCCTTGGCCTAATCCCGCTGCTCCTGCTTCAGGGCCAGGAGTAGCTCGTGCTGTCGCTTGCATTCCTGCTGGACTAGTTCCTGCTGCTCCGTTAGCTGGAGCCACTGATGCAGTTTCTCACGGTCCTCCCGTTACGCTGCTTCTTTAGCTGCTTTTTCACAAGCTGTTTCTCCTTTGCATGGAAGTTGTCAAGGAATTAGTATGTTTTATCAAACACCTCAGGATTATACTCTCCTGAGAGATCATCAAAGCAGGGGTCACGAGCTACCTTTTTTACTAGGAGGCACAACTTGATGCAAAAATGGCACCTGAACCTTGGGTGACATCTCCAGAGGCCTGTGCTTGTCCGCCAGGCGTGTGCCTTGTTCAGGTGGCCTAAAACCTTGCTTCTTCGTGCTGCTTCCAAATAGAACATGTTGACCTACCTTTGTGACCACTTGCTTCTGCAATTCCAACAGCTCCTCAAATGACAAGTGTGATGAGTCCTCGTCTGTCTGCAGCTCTGGGTGCCCATCGCCGCCCCCATGGTCGCTCACATTGCGCAGAGACGCAGCGGTTGCCCCCATGCAAGGACCCCTGTTTAAGTTGGCTTTTATAGGTTTTTCTGAAGCTCTTCCATGTGAGGCTTTCAACATAGGTAATAGTCCACTGCTAGGATGGTTGGCAAGGGGTCAGATTTGGGATGGTCTTTGAAACTCCTTTTCTTGACCTAGGTTCCTGCTGGAGCTTCTCTTGAAGGGTGGATCTAGCCTGCTCTGATCTGGGCTAGCTCCAGGTAAAGGTCTCATTAGGTCTTAGTTCCTGTAATCACAAGGTGGGTCCTGACAGTCGTAGAGCTAGGTGGTTATTATTTCCAAGGGATTCCGTTGCCATGGTGGTCTTTTCCTATCTACCTGCCTACATCAGCTTTATGAGAAACATTGTTAGCTAAGAAAAAATCATTAAGACATATTTTGTATAATAACGTGGCTACTCTAATATTATCTGGAATTCCTAAAGAATCTGATAGTTATGGTTAATTCTACGTATTTTAGGAAATTATAATCCACAATTGAACACACTCCTTACAAATTGAAAGAGAAAGCCTCAGGTTACCCCATCAATTACCAGCAGTGACTCTACCTTAGCTCTCACCATCCAACATTCTAAGCATTCCTGTAATTTCTCTGGGCTTTGTTTAAGACTCTGGGAGCCTAGGATAGAAAATTTTGCCTCAGGTTTTGGGCTCACAGGAGACGTGAGTGACTCCAGGTATTCCCTAGGTAGATAGTTAAGTAGCAAGCTAGAAAGTCCTAAATAGAGTCTCACTTGCCTTAAGTGGGAATACAAGATGTCAATTTTATTTTAGTAACACAAAAGAACCCTAATTTCATAAGACATCTCTGGGAAATAAATGAGAATCATCCGATAAAATGCAACAGAAGCTTCTCTTGATAAAAAACAAAGAATCCATTCAGTCATCCATAGGACAATTTGGTTATTTCCAGACCTTGACCATTGTGACTAGTGTGTCAATGAACATAGGATAATAAATGTTTTTCAAAATTTTTTTTTCAAAAATGATTTTTGAGGCTCTTAGGATAAATGCCAAAAAGCAAAATTGCTAGTTCACATGGAATCTCAATTCTTAGTTTTTTAAAAAAATTGTTTATATTGTTTGTTTTCCAAACAGGTTGAACCAGTTTACATTTCTATGAAGAGCGGATGATTCCCTTTTCCCTATGTCCACATGAATTCTTCTTGTTCTTTTTAAGTGTGCTAATGTCGCTGGTCAAAGGTGATATCTCATTGTTCTTTTTATTTGCATTTTCATGATGATATGTGATGGAGAACATTTTTCATATGCCTATTAGCCCTCTGTAAGTCTTCTTTAAGGAAGTATCTGCTTATTTCATCTCCCTAATTTTATAAGGTTGTCTGTTTGTATTTGTGTTTATTTGCTTTTGTTTTATTAGTGATATATATCTTAGATATTAATTCTCTGTAAGATAAGTGGTGGAGAAATATTTTCCCCCAGTCTATAAGGTATCTTTTATTCTAGTCATCAAGAAACACACACACACACACACACACACACACACACACGCACACAGTGAAAGACTATAAGACTACAAGAAAAAAATAAGTCGTGAAATTTGTGCTGTAATGATGGAGCTAGAGGATATCATGCTGAGTGAAATAGTGGAGACTTGAATTTAAGACAATGGTACAGAGAAATGAATACTCTGATAGGCGGTGCAGTGTTTGACTGTTGGAAGAATGAAACCCTGTCTTTGACAGTATTAAAAATGTAAATCATGATGACTAAATTTTTTAAAAAGTCTAGTCAGTATAGTTTACTACAATATAACATTTACTCATAAACTAAAGTGACCTGGATTTCTTCATGATGTTGATGAAGAGGCAGAGTGGGAACAAAACTAAGTAAGTGGATTTATCTGGTTCATTGTTCATTGTTCCGTTTCCACTGCTGTTTAATATATTTCTTTTTTTTTCTTTTTGGCTCACACCCAGCAATGCACAGGGGTTACTCCTGGCTCTGCACTCAGGAATTACTCCTGGCGGTGCTCGGGAGACCGTATTGAATGCTGGAAGTCGAACCCGGGTTGGCCGTGTGCAAGGCAAATGCCCTTCCCACTGTGCTATCCCTTGAGCCCCAGTTTAATATATTTATTAATAAGTTTTTCAATAAAGTTAATCAAGAAAAAAAAGTACCACCTCTTTTTATAGGGTTTTTCTAGCTGAATTATTGAGTCTGTGTTTTGTTTTGTTTCATTGAAGCATCCAGAAATTTACAATACTATTAATGATAGGATGTCCTGTGTACAACATTTCAACACTATCTCAGTGTCTGCTTCCCTCCACTCTTGTCTCAGGCTCATCTCCCATCAATCCTATGCCCTTTGTTAGCTCAGTTATGTAGAATGGTTTTGAGGCTCTTTCTAGCAAATAGAATTGGCCATTTGCTATTTCCATACTATGTTTCTTTATATTCCACATATAAAAGAATCACCCTGTATCTGTCCTCAGTAATTTATAGAAGTTTAGCTAACTAGGAACATGAGGATCTGTGTCTGGAGTCTCAGTTCTATTCCGCTGTTATGAAAATCTCACTTTTTTCCAGTACCACACTACATTGATTATTATATCTTTATATTGCAATTTAAAGTCGGGGTAACACAAGGTTTCTTCTACTTTTTCCTAGATTTATTTGGATATTTGAGAGGAGGGATTATTACTCCAAATACATTTCAAAAACATTTGGTCTGTGTTCTTTAACAAAATGTCATGGGTAATTTTATAGGTATTTCATTAAATTTATGTATTACTTTTGATAGAAATGTCATTTGATGATGTTAATCTTTCTAAATTATGATCAGCAGATTTTTTTCATTTCCTTGTATATTTAAAACAATTTTCATAATGATTTACAGTTTTCTTTATATGCTTTCACCTCTTTTGTTCCTTCCTTTGTTGATTTCCAGCCATTTGATTTTTATCAAATGAGAGATAGAATCAGGAGTTCTGATCTTCGTCAACGCTCAAGAATCAGGGACGCTGTCTCATTTGCCAAGACATCAAAAATCAGATGGGCTGGACATGTAATGAGGTTTACAGACAACCGCTGGACTAGAGCCATTACTGATTGGATTCCACGGGACATCAAAAGATCACGTGGACGCCCACCTATAAGATGGTCAGACTTCTTCGTCAAGACCCTAAATGATCAGTTTGAGGCTCTGCATGTTCCTAGAACGAACAGATACCATTGGGCTACGCTAGCACGCAACCGGGATGAATGGAGATGTTACTGGCACCCGCTCGAATAAATCGATGAATAACGGGGATTAAGTGATTAAGTGATTAAGTGATTTTTATTGAGGGGCAACTGTGAATGGCATCTTTAAAAGAAAAAATCTTCTATTATATGTTTGCATATAGAAATAGCATGGATTTTTGTGCGGTTGTTTTGTAGCCTGCCATTTAATCACTGTATCACTGTATCACTATTATCCCATTGTTCATCAATTTTCTCGAGCAGGCACCAGTAATGTCTCCATTTATAGTAGCCCTGAGATTTTACCAATTGCCACATTGGAGGCTTTTTCAGGGTCAGGGGAATGACACCCATCATTGTTACTGGGTTTTGGCATATCTAATATACCACAGGGAGCTTGCCAGACTCTGCCGTGCAGGCAGGATACTGTCGGTAGCCTGCTGGGTTCTCTGAGAGCAAGAACTAGATAATAAGAGGTCGCGCAACTGCAAATGTGACCACTTGCTTCCAGAAGCTTGGTTATATAGTATCTCGGTCTTGGCCATTGATGGGATTACACAGCACCAGGGGCAGTTGGTGGGTGTAATGCCTAGCTACTGGAAGATGGGGGATCTGGGTGGAGGAGGCCCAGTCCTGAACAGAGCAGGCTCGGAAATCTCAGCCCCAGGTACCTCAGACCTTGGTTCCTTTGCCGGTTCCTTCATGCATAAGGCTTGTCCATAAGGCCTATTCTCTTCACTCTCTCGCATGTGGAGAATAGTCTTAAGCATGGCTCTCACTGGGTTTTGCAGGTCTTCAGCTGCCACTTTAATATAACAGTTTATTGTTTCAAGAATTTTTTTTGGTAGAGTATTTATGGTTTTCTAAGTATAGTGACATGTCATTAACAAATAATAATAGTTTGACTTCTTTTCTAATTTGGATGAGTTTAATTTCTCTTTCTTGCTTTTTTGCTATTGCAAGAGCTTCCAATAAAATCTTACAGTTTTGTTTTATATTGATACAGTTTATTATCTTGATTGTATTTTTAAAATCATTCTTGTATTTCTGATAAATTCTACCTGATCATGCTACATAATACTCAATGTATTGTTAAATCTGGTTTCTTATATTTTATTTCAAATATTTGCATCTATATTTATCTGGGGTACAGGATTGTATATTTATTTTTTTAGTGGTATTTGTATGATTTTGTTATCAAGGTATTGTTTTCCATATGTATTGTTTGGGAAAGTTTATGTTGTTCCAACTTTCTGAAAGAGTTTGAAAAGGTTTAGAAGTAGATCTTCTATAAAGGTATGGAAGAGCTTTCTAGTGAATCCAATCAAGGCTTTTGTTTGGGGAATAATTTTGACTAAAATTGCAATTCCTTGATAGCTATGGGTCTCTTCAGACATCTTGATGTTTCTTATTGGTTCAACCTTAATTATAAGAGTCCAAATTTACCTAATTTTGTGGCATAAAATTTTTTTATAGAAACCCCCAAGGTTCTTTAAATTTCTGTGGCATTTATTGTAACACAATCCCTTTCATTATTTATTTAGTATTATTATTTTTAAACAATGTAGGAGTACTACTATTTGTTCAGCCATTGATTAAGCTAATTGAATTGGGCATGAACTCCACATTACTTTTTATTTTATTGTATCACCATGAGATAGAGTTACAAAGCTTTCATGTTTGAGATTCAGCCTTACAGTAATGAAAAAACTATCCCTCCACCAGTGCACATTTTCCATCACCAATGTCCCCAGTATCCCCCCGCACAAATGCATCCCACTCCTCACCCTGCCTCTATGGCAGACAATTTTCTCAAAACTCTCTTTATAATTTTGGGCATTATCTTTTGCTTGAATT